AGGTATAAGGAATTAATTTTTTTACGCTGAGGGTGGTGAAACACTGGCACAGGTTGCCCAGAGGGGTGGTGGATGCCCCATCCCTGGTCAGGTTGGATGGGGCTCTGAGCACCCTGATCTAGTTGAAGATGTCCCTGCCCACGGTAGGGGGGTTGGACTAGATGACCTTTAGAGGTCCCTTCCAACCCAAACTGTTCTATGATCAAGGAGTTTTGTGTGTGTATAATCATTTAGAAGATCAGAGCCTACAGCTGTTCTTTGAATTATGTTGTAGCAGCATTCTTTAAGGATGTGTAATTTCTAATTTTGTTTTCAATTCTTACTCTTACAAGTAAATCCAAATTCTGCTGAAAGGATTCTGTTCTTTATCTGACTTACAACTGGGGTTACCAATCCAGAAACCCCTGTTGAAACAGCATAAATCATTTTGTGAAGTATTCAGTAAGAAGCAGTTTTCTTTAATTTTTATGGAGTTTGTTTTTATTTTCTTCTAAAATTTTTATTCGTGCATTTTAATTATAAAAATTACTGCTGCAGATCTTGGGTTCCAACAGTTGTAATCTTCTGTGTGCGAGGCTGTGTTTTGCTGCAGTAGTTTTTTCTAAACGATTTATGTTGATGTTGATTATAGTTACTGATCTTGCAGTACCCTAGAAAATGCTCATATGAGCAGAAATAACTCAGATGACAGAATTTGTACATGTACCAGACCCAAAAGTCTATTGAATAAGAAATTTAGAGCCTCTGCAGGACTTTTATATGAAGTGCGTCATAGGAACCTCCTGAAGTCATTACAGCTAGCTCAGATGTTGAAATGATTTGTGCATGTTTTGTATCTCGTAGAACGATTAGGGTATTAGGTAGCGCTTTGAAGGTGGAAACACAGAGAAGTGTTTTGAAAAAGTGAAATCGTCTAATTTGCATATTAAGAGAAAAATGTTTTCTGCTTTCTGAACAATAAACTTGTATCAGCTGTGTAGGGTGCAGTGTCACTGCTTGTTTGGTAGCAGAATTTGAAACTGCTGGCCATGGTGTGCAAGGCTCTCTTCCCGTCCTCTTAACCTTTCTTGAGTAGGTTGGATGCACTCTTAACATAATTTGAAAGATACTCGGACCTTTCAGATCCTGTCAATTTATTTTTGCTTTTTTGGCTCAGTCTCTCTCACAAGTTTTTTTTCTTTTGCGACATTTTTGCTTTGGTACAATTTCTTATTTCTTAGAGGTGCTGGTTTTTCTGGATAATGTCTAGTTTGGCATCTCAGTTGTACAAATTTATATGATACTCAGTTTTCCATCAGTGAGAGCTTAGACAGTTCCAGTATCAATAGACTAAGGGACAAACACTTTGTTCTTGTGTATGAATTGACAGATTTCAGTCTCTGTTGTCTAAGGTTTTTGTAATGATTACTGAATGTTTTCTATTCAGGTATCAAGTGGTTTAATAGCGCAGTGAATGCCTGTACCACTGTGTGTATGGTGAAGAGATACTGCTCTGTGATTCCATTCAAAACCGAATGTCAGCTGCCTAAGCATAAAAATACTTACTGTTTAAAGTGAGTGCTTGCTCCCATGTTGTGCTTCTTCTGCATGTGCAGATGCAGTCTGGCGGTGCTTGTACTTAGGGTTCGATATTGCAGAGCATCTCCTGTGGAATGAGAAGAGTTTTCCCTCTTAATAAGAACACAAATACAGGTCACTTAGTTCTTGTAAAGCTAATTTCATCGTGCTAGAATGGATACATCAGATGAAAAAGACTAACAAGAGGCTGGAAGATATTTGGAGAAATAACCTTTAAAACAAAAGACCTGGATTTAATGCTTTTACAGTCTTTTTATACCTGAAAATATGTATACGTGATTAAGCTGAGATCCTATGAAAGAAAAAAAATAAGTATTTTTTCTTCCATTTTATTTATAGGTACTAAATGAAGCAGTGGGTGCACTGATGTATCACACTATCACTTTAACACGAGAAGACCTGGAGAAATTTAAAGCACTTCGAATAATTGTCCGAATTGGCAGTGGTTTTGATAATATTGACATCAAATCTGCTGGAGATTTAGGTATGACTATTAAAGACATTATTTTACATCTTATACTTGCCTCCAGAAATCTGATAGCATCTAAGTCTTTGCATTAATGTTTTCTGTATAATTTATAATAACATAGTATGTAAGCTGTATAATTTTCTCATCAAAGTGTTTAAAAATCGTTATGGAGATACTAGCATTAGTTAATTAAGTGATAATATTAACAGCTTTGTGACAGAATGACATTCTGCCTGTTCAGTATATACCCAAGGAGTAAGCCATAATTTTTCATCTCTTTCTTTTTTACCCCAATGGTATATTTTAACTACTACTGCTGTAATTCAATCACAAAATACAATTCCATCAGCATGGCATACTGCTTCTGTTTGAATAAAAAATGAGATCATTATCAACTGTCTGAGACTTATTTATGATGCATGAGATTTAGTACTAAACCACTCCATAAAATAGAAATATGGATTTTATAGGAGAATTGGTTGTTGCTGCTTCAGAATAAATTCAGATACTGGAACTATGAAGAGATGGTGCTTAGTGTTTCACTGTAAAAAAGCAACAGTCTGATTTGTACTTTTCTTACTTTAGGATAAACCATCTCTTACCTATAGGTCAAACTACCACTCGGAATAAATGCCTACATTTTCTTTGTTTCTTTTCTAAGATTGAGGTGACCAAGTATGTTTCCTGTTATGCTCTGGGAAGACCTTGGAAATATTTATTTCAGTGTGACAGTACTTAGTTCTAGTAATAACCCCGTTGGTGTAGTGAGGAGCTGTAATATAGTCTGTGTATCAGTAAATGATAGTAAAATGATCACCTGTTTCTAATGTGCATGTAGTTTGCACAGCAGGCAGAGGCTAACAACTTACTTACAAGTTTCTATAAAGAACAGATCAGGTCTGAAAGCACGCAAGGCTGTGTTCCTACGGATTGTAACTAGTGCCACAGTTAGGCCCATGCATTGTGAGCCCAAGAAAACATGTATACATGCAGAGATTGGCCTGGGGTAAAATCCTAGATCAAAAACCAAAACCTAGGTACAGATGAAAGGCTCTGACCAGTCAGGAGTCCGATTTGTGCAGAGAATCCCTGATAAGAGGAAAATCTTTGCAGGTTTGTTGGCTGTTTCTGCAAGTCTCCATGCTGGATTGTAACCCAAGCTTATAATTTAAATGCATCCACATAATTCTTCAAACCGGAGTACAGCAGATTTGGGAAATTCTCATTTGTATGAAATGCTAAATGGCCACATACCTAATCATTCCATTCCAATGTTGTGATTAGACTGAGTTAATACAGTTAGGATCCATCCTGTTCGTGCATTCCAGTATTTACAAAATACAATTGTCCACCCTGTCAAGAGCCAATAAATGCTGGAAGGCTTACTGTGTAAAATTTCTGATTTTAATAGTTAGGGTGAAATGTTTGGAATTAAATACTAACTCACCACTACTGGGACAAATCACTTTCCATTTGTTGAACTAGTACAAATAATATGCATCTCAAGGAGTTAATATGAGAGTTAATTGCTCTTTGTAAAAAGTTTTGATTCACTCTTGAAATACAGTGTAGAGTTAGACCGTAAAGTCTGACATATCCCTGAACTTCCGTAGTAACTTTTTGTGTTATTTTCGTAGAGCTGGCTCGTGGGGTTGTTACCAGCTTTTCCTATTGAGTATTATTTTCATGTTAGCACTTTTACTCTTCTTAAAATGCATGAAAAATGTATGTTTCTTGGATAAAATCTTTAAGATTTGGTCTACTTTTTCTCCAGTTTATTAATTGTTGACTAGAAAATATGTACGAGTTGTGAGTGTAGCTGGATGCAAGGGAAGAAGTGGGAGCCAAGGTGATGCCCATTGACTCCTGAGTTTTTCAGCATTGAACCTATGCACAAGATCGCTGAAACCAGTGGGAAAAGGGGAAAGGGAAGGAAGTGT